CAGAGGCCTGCAGGGGGCGGCGGGCGGGACTTCGGGCCGCCAGCCAACCACTGGGGGCCGAGGCGTGCTCTGCCCCTGCCAGCCAACCAATGGTGGCCGAGTTGTGCTCTGCGCATGCTCAGCCAGCCAACTTCCAGAACTTTCCGTGGGGACCCTTGGCCACAGCCGCGTATCTCTTCTGCTCTCTGGCCCCTGCCGGTGTCCCTGCCGCCTGCCCTGACCCCTCCGGGAGAAGCACGTCCTGGAAAAGGTAGTGGCTCTACCTCTGGGGGTCTGTCCTCCCGTCCCCTGCCGGTCCCACCTTCTCCAACCCGAGGACACGCGCTTCCTTGGGGAACGCAGGGAGCGGGGCCCATGTTGCAGTTTGCACACCAGCTGTGGGTGGAGGCCGAAAGTCACGGCTTTAGAGGGGCCTGGTCAATGGGGAGGGGGCCGCCACGCAACGCTTGGGAGGGCGCTGCGCCCCTGGGCTGCAGGGACAAGGGTCTCTTAGACGAGGAAAGGAGGTGTTGGGGTCAGTTAGGCGTCACTCGAGGCCCGACCTTATCATGCAGAAGGGACTGATTTTCGGTGGTGACAAGCAGATGGGGGCTTCTGGGGCCGGCCGAGTGGTGAGCTGCTCCCTGTGAAACCTCTGCGGTGGGTAACGCCCGGGAAACTGAGGCCATGGGCGCTGCGGCCTGTTCGGCCCGGGTGTCCCAGGCCTCCTTTTGGAACTTGTCCTGAAGACCAGAGAAAGCACGTTGCCGACGGGGCAAAAGGACAGAGAAAACTCCCAAGAAAAGGCATTTATGGATAGTTAGGGGGCTTTTAGGAGAAATAGAAACCCCCGTGGTGAGATTTTGCAGGCATTTTCACAGTCTTGGGAACACTGTGGTTTGACAGTCTGTTCCATGCTTCTCTGCCTCTGTATCTATTTTTGTTCAACAGTTTATATTGTTCTTTATTTTCCATAAATGAATGAAATCATATGGTAAAAAAAAAAAAAAGAAAAAGAAAAAGAAGAAAGAAAAAAAAAGAACGAAGAAGGGTTTGCAGAGCGTCATTCTCCACAAAATCACACTGTTGCCTCCTTTCTCATATATTTCACCTAATCCTCACTTTGGCCTCAAAGACAAACACATCATTGGAGATACTTGGACTGGGACCTGAATGACTTTGTAAAGAAGAAATTTGTCATCCACAGTAATAGTATCACATGGATAAGAAGATTTTGATAAGCTGGAATTCCTAGACATTGAAATTCCTAGGATGAATGCCATCTCTAGTGGAGATGTGCCCAAGTTTTTCATCACCTCACTAAATAAGCTGAACATGAACTTACATATGAGAATTGCTCCAGAACTCTGCCACAAGATGCTGGTGAGCAGTGGCATTGTCCCGGGTTGTGAAATTGAATGCCAGTTCCAGATGATTTGACTCTAATTCACCAGCAGTGATTTTACATGGCCTCTACAGATCATGATGATCTCCTGAAACCATGGAAATTATGTAAGGGATGGTGAAGCACATTACAGACAAGATCACATCCACCATCCCAATGGCCCAGAAGGCCAAACCCATCAGACTGACTTCACCCCATCTACAGAGTCAGCATGGTAGAAGCACGTGAGAAAGCCCTGTGAGGAACTAACCTGCCAGGAACAAACCTTGTTCAGAACTGAAGAAACTAAAAAACATTCTTAATAATACCTGTGTGGCAAAAGCTATTGAATGTCCTTTACCTCAGGCCACAGCCAGACTCCGATAATCTTGTCAGAGAGCTCCTGAAAGTGAGTTGCAGCAACCTCATATTCATCTGTGATCACCCACGGATAGTGAGATGTTTGGCCAAACGGACCACTCTGGGTCTCACTGAGCACTTTGAGCTGTTTGTCACAAAGAAGGAAGTGTGCAGTACCTACTATGACTTAGACAGTTCCATGCAGCAGCAAGCAGTTTTTTAAAGAACAAAACAGAAGCATTTGAGACCTTGCTTCCTGGCAACTACCATCAGTTTTGCCTCAAATAAACTCTTAAAAATTTTGAAAAAGCCCTGACCGGTTTGGCTCAGTGGATAGAGTGTCAGCCTGCAGACTGAAGGGTCCCAGGTTCGATTCCGGTCAAGGGCATGTACCTTGGTTGTGGGCACATCCCCGGTGGGGAGTGTGCTGGAGGCAGCTGATTGATGTTTCTCTCTCATCGATGTTTCTGACTCTCTATCCCTCTCCCTTCCTCTCTGTAACAAATCAATAAAATATATTTTAAAAATATTTTCTGAAGGAAGAGAGAGAGGGAGGAAGGAGGGTAAGGAACAGCAGATCAAAGGCACTGATGAGGAGGAGGCTGTGTTCATAGATGAAAAGCTCTGTACTGCCATGGAATGCCCACAGCTGGCTAGGGCTTGGGTAGTAACCACATCGCATCACCATGTTTCTCACAGTCTCCAGTAACATTACAGAAGTACTTCTGTTTCCTCCCATAAAACCTGAAGCTAGGAAGGAGAATATAGCAACCACTAATACATTGGAAAACACACTTGGCACTTCTGTCTAGAAAATAGTCACTGTAAATTGTGGGACTCAGACATCTTTGTATTTCTGCAAAAGATCAAGGTCTGCAAGGGATTCGTGTACGTTTCTATCCGTTTGACCACCAGTGTTCATTTCAGCCCCCAGAAGAGAGAAGAGGCATTGAAGAATTCATTTTCATGCCTTACCAAATAAATGATTTGTCTATTTTTAAAAGTTATTCATAATTTCAAGAAGTATTTTCACTTTTAAATGCTCTTCGAATTCACATAGGCATAGTTTTGTGTATGAAATACATACACAAAATATTAATGAATATTTGTAATTCCAATCCAAGTTTAGGTACTACTTTTTTCTCAGCATCATCTCCCAAACACTCTTCCTTACTTCTATATATAGCTACCATGCTTATAATCTTAAAGACCTAAATTAAATTCTATTGTATCAACACATTTACTTCTTTCCCGTTTTGGCCATATAAGATGTTTTCATATTACTATTATGAAATCATGCACATGCATATTTCTTCTGGATTATCTCCTAAGAAGAGCAGCTGCTCCAAAGAGGATTACTGGATCAAAGGTTAGCAACAAGTCTGGTTCCAAGTACTATGGAGAAAACACACTCCACCCTGTCTCCCACTGAATGTAACTACAAAACCCGGGTAGACTGCATGAAGCCGCTATTTGAGGACCCTGAAAAGTAAATAGCAGCAGTCATTGAAGAAAACGAGAATTCAAAGTACCACAAAATTGTGAGTTTATCATTTGTATCCCCTGCAGTTCTCCAGACATCACTCGACCTGAATCTAACTGATAATTGTACGATTCCCAACAACAACAGAATACACTTTCTTGCCAAGCATCCACGGAACTTTCTACAAGATAGGCCATATCCTGTGTCATAAAACACATCTTAACAAGTGTTAAAGATTGAAGACATATAAAATGTTATCCGACCATCATGAAATCAACCAAAAATCAGTAACAGGAGAATTTCTAAGTATTTGGAAATTAAACAGCACACTTCTAAATAATTTGTGAGTCAAAGAGAAAGTCTCAAAGGAAATTAGAAAATATTTTCAGCTGAACAAAAACGAATATACAACATAGTGCTTCTAGAGGAACTTACGGCATTAAAAGTTTTTATTGGAAAAGAAGAAAGGTCTCAAATTGATATTCTAAGCTTCCACCTTAAGACACTAAAAAAATAAATAAATAAAGCAAAATAAAACCACAAACTGGGTGTCTTAAAATGCTTTTTCTCTCAGTGCTGGAGACCACAGGTTCGACATTAAGGTGTCACCAGGGTTTGTTCCTTCTGGAAGACCGGAGGAAGAATCTGTTCCACGCCTCTCTTCTAGCTTATGGTGGCTGCCAACAATCCTTGGCTTTCCTTGCCTTGTAGATGCATCACTCCAATCTCGGCTTCCATCTTCACATGGCCTTCTCTCCGTGTGTCTGTGTCCTTTTCTGTCTCTTATAAGGACCCCCTCATTGATTTGGGGCCCACCCTAATCCAGTAGGATCTCATCTCAATTGATACCTTACTTACATCTGCACAAACCTTATTTCCAATAAAAGTCACATTGTGAGTTTACACCTGAATTTGGAGGGTTGGGAGACACTATTTAACCTACTATAGACAGAAAAAAACTTTTTTAAATCTATGAACATTTTTTAGTGAATGTAGGCTCTTGATGCCCTGATTTGAGTTAATTACCAATGATCATTTTCTAAATTACCATGGTTGTTAACCAATAATTCATTTCTTTATTGAATCTTTGACCCAAATATTTCAACTAAAAACCATTTACTGGAGTAGCAAACAGAGCAAAGCATTTTTGGTACAATCCATTTCTTGGAGATTCACTTGAAAATACACTTTCAATATTCAACAGAGATGGTGATTGAAGCCACTATCTGTACCTTTATAGATACAGAAGATCTAAAAAATAGTTTCCCGTTTAGATTGAATAGTTCTAGAGCAATTTGTATCAGAAAATGACCTCTGTTTGGGAAAGTATCCTATTCAAGTTGAGTTATTAGGTTATAATGTGTTATAGGTGTAAAATGTCTGTGCTTTCCCTAATGTTCTTTAAAATATTTTTTCTCTTTTAGAATGAATTCTGGAATATATACAAAGGTGAGATGTATGCTATTTTAATCTTAAGTGAGAGGGGTTCATTAAGATATTTAAGTTGGGAGAAATTGTGTTTGAACTTTGAAAATGCTTGCTGAATTGCCTTTCTGTTCCTGTTTAAATCCTATGTATTTAACTTGTTCCATCTGAGCATTTTCATAACAGTTATTGTAAAATAGTTTTTTATAGTAACTTTACACTAATCCTAATGTTGCCACTTACATATAGATTTAAATCAGTATATTCTCATTTGAGAATTGAGAGAGAAACATTAAACAGCTGCCTCCTGCACACCCCCCACTGGGGATGTGCCCGCAACCAAGGTACATACCCTTGACCGGAATCGAACCTGGGACCCTTGAATCCGCAGGCCGATGCTCTATCCACTGAGCCAAACCAGTTAGGGATGTAAAATAGTTTTTTATAGTAACTTTACACTAATCCTAATGTTGCCACTTACATATAGATTTAAATCAGTATATTCTCATTTGAGAATACCAAATTTAGTGATAATTTTAAAAATCCAAGTATATTAGGAAAGAAATAGAGTCGGAAAGATTGGACCCTATAATAAGGTAAGCATCTTGAGTCAATCCTTATACCATCTGAAATGGCATTAATCCTGACTAATGTTTTCATTCTGGCAACACCATTCAAATTTCTCAAAATGACTATTGGACTTATTTCTAAATTAGATTGTACAAATGCACCAAGAAATGTGAAGTCCCGTGTTGGTGCTGGGCAGTTGTCTCTGCATTCTCATTTTACCCCCAGAGCATTTGGAAACAGGAACCCTAACATCTCTGTTGTCCAGGGTCAAACACTCACATGCCTTCCACCCTTCCAGATGATCCCATTGTAGTCACCATCCTAGAGCTCTTTACTCTAATATAAAAATGCTGTCAAACATTTCAGCAAAAACTGGAAAACTCAGCCAATGTTCCAGTAAGATAAGAGCATCATGTACACAGAGCCACAAAAGGTAGTTCAGTTAGGAGAAATTGTTTACAGGGAAACAGGAAGAAGTCCACGTTCATTCGAGTTATCTGAAAAATGTGTGCCAAGATCAACACAGCAAAGTCATTTCCATGGTGATGGAAATTGCCCGCAAGCTTCGGTTTCCAATCCCTTTCTTTGCAGATGGTGACCAGTGTGAAAGCAATCCCTGCCTGAATCAGGGCAGGTGTAAGGACGGCCTTGGGGAATACACCTGCACTTGTCAGGAAGGATATGAAGGCAGAAACTGTGAATTACGTGAGTTCCTCTTCTTGGTAGGCCTTCAAGTCCGAGTTACCTGAAGAATCGAATGTGGGAAAGAGGGAAAAAGTCAAAATGTCCAAGGGAACAACCTCAATTCACTTCTGATGTCAAGTCTGTGCTCCATTATGAAGGGCCACTGTAGTCACAGAAAACAACAAAAATCAATGGCCCTAAAATCCACTCAGTGTTGGAGTTCAGTGAAACACAGTCACCTCTCCGTTCCTCTGAGAGAGGCTGTGGAACATTCATGAAGCATGTGGCCCACTAACATAGAAACGAGAATTGACTTCTTGGAGTAGAATGTATCCCTCATCGTTGTTACTTATATTCCTTGTGGTCCTGGGCAATGATTCTAAATCACCACACCTCACATTTATTAGTGCAAATGCCAATACTAACTGTTAGGGATAGTCCAATTATAAAAATTTGAAACATTTAATTAATCTTACTTGGAAAAGTCACTAGGAGTTTTCCTAATATGCTGGTTAATTTTTAAATAAAAATTAGCTTTAATATTAAACCGGATTTCCCTAAAGAGAAAGATTTGCATTTCTTTTAAATTACTTAATTTATCATCTTTGGAATGTGCTCTTCAATTAGATTACTTCAGAATATTTTCTGCCGGGAAGGAATATCAATTAGGCATCGTTTCATCCCAATCCAGAGCTGCCGCTCTTGCACACCTTTTGGCTCTGACCCCAGGGCCATGGTGAATGTTTTCTAAAGTTTCATTAACGTTGATCTTTGCACCATAATTACTTTTTCATCAAAACCCAAGTGCAGAGTGTAAAGGGCCAGGGTAGCATCACTGATGTGAGTTTGGAGGTTGAGCTCAGTGCACACAGGAAGCAGGTGGGTGATTCTGGCTCAGGCAGAGCTGCGGATCTGAGGTCCAGGGAGACTCGGCTTCACACGGACACCGTGCCAAGAGCTTCCCGTGACCCGTGAGGTTTCCTGTGAGGTCGTACGGCCTCCTCCACTTTACAAGTGAGGAAACCGAGGCCCGTAGGTTGAAATGACTTCCTCAAATCACACAAGTGACAGAAGGGCCAGTTTGGCACTCAGGTTGGCCTGCCTCCAGGATGTGCACTGCCTGTTTTGTTTCTTCTTCCCACCACACTGGGGCCCAGACCCCAGTCTCTGAGACCCTTATTACACAGGGACTCTTCTAGCCTCAGAGTGGGTGGGCCTCTGGCCACTCCACCAGGCTCCTCTTGAGCACCTGGCCCGGAACCCACCCTCCTGCAGGCAGCCCTTCCAAGCTGGTCAGGAGCTATGTGCCTTCTTAAGACCCTTCCAGCCTCCAGGGCCCTCACTGGCCATGTTCAGATTATTTAAGGACCTCCTGGAAGGCTGGTGCCAGGGCCCAGCAGATACTCAGCTCTCGCCCTAACTGTACGCCATGGTTTCCCCAGGCAGCCTGGGCAGTGAGAAAAGCACACACACAGGCATGGTCCTCTCACCCCACCAGCTGCTCTGGGCAGCCCATCCTGTTTGCACCAGCTGATGTGCATGGGCCATGTGGCTCCGGCCTTTTGTTCTAGCCAGGTGGCTGCTGTAGGGCTCACGGTGGGTGTATGTCCCCCTGGGGCTGCTGTCCTTCCTCCCGGCCAGCTGCAGCCTCAGTTTCCCCAGCCTGTCCTGAGAACCAACATGCGTCCATTACAGCCATGCGAAAATTCTGCAGCCTGGACAACGGGGACTGTGACCAGTTCTGCAGAGAGGAGCAGAACTCCGTGGTATGTTCCTGTGCCAGTGGGTACATCCTGGATGACAATGGCAAGTCCTGCATCTCCACAGGTAGGAGGCACATGGGGCCACTCCATCAGGGTTCCCTGATTCAGGGAGGCCAGTGCAGGACAGCTGGAGCAGCCGAGGTGGGCCGCAGATTTGGAGACAAACCCCCGTTTCTGGGAGCTGTGTGAAAAGTTGGGCTGGCTATATTACCTAACTGCTTAGTAAATGTGCAAATTAAGAGAGCAATGCATGGAGGACACTTTGCACAGTGCCTGATTCATAGCAAACCCTAACTATGTAATGAGTGTGTGGAGGCCTGATTTGTACCCCTGGATAGGACAGGAGACTTGGGAGACTGGGAGTTACAATGAACCAAGATGAGAGTGAAGGCGGGTGAGGGCAGCCCAGGACTGACTGTAGGAGCTGGGGAGTTAGAAAGAGGGGAGCCGAGGCCCTTCGAGAACTAATTTAGGCCCTAGCTAGTTTGGCTCAGTGGATAGAGTTTCAGCCTGTGGACCAGAAGGTCCCGGGTTCGATTCTGGTCAAGGGTACGTACCTCAGTTTCAGGCTCTTCCCCAGTAAGGACCCTGGTTGGGGCTCGTGCAGGAGGCAATCAATCGATGTGTTTCACGTTGATGTTTCTCTCTGTCTTTCCCTCTCTCTTCCACTCTCCCTAAAAATCAATGAAAAAATATTCTCAGGTGAGGATTAACAACAACAAAAAAGAACTAATTTAGGTTGTGTGGGCCTCAATGTTCATAAAATTTATTTATTATTTTGATTGATAAAAGCCGGACACGATGAGTCTGGCCTAGAAGCTCGGGAGGGCATGGCCTATTAAGGGGCTGAGTACGGGCCAGGCCCCTGGGGTCTCGCACACTGTAGAAAGGTCCTCCTGTGCTGCAGGGCCAAGCTGGAGCCAGTGGTGCTGAGGCGTCACTCCTTTCTCTCAGTCTCACAAAGTCACCAACTTGTTTTTCAAAGCCAGGTTTCCTGACTGACTGACAGCTTCAGCATCAACTGGTCGAGGGGGGGTCAGTGAGGGTGAGGGTGTACAAATACAAAGTCCCAGGCCCACTCCACAAGACAGGAACATACCAGAATGACTGCAATTAAATAACATTAACTCTCTCAACATGTAAAAGACAATATCATTTACATCTCCATTGGTTATGAGATTTTTAAACTTACGCTGGTTCAACAATAGGGGGTAGACTGTAACATGCACGCAAATTTTGTTTAAATTCAGGAATAATTACAAATCAATTAATGAAATGTGATTTGGGGGTGGGGGGAGGTCAGGTAAACTACTTCCTAATTCAGTATTTCAAAGGACTTTGATTACTAATATTAACACCGAACTCTTTATCTCTAGCTAACACAGCACAAGTCTGCTGGGGGTGGGGAGGGGTCCTTCAGATCCTGCTGGAGCCCTTGCAAACACTTAAAAGAACTATGTTCTGCCTGTCTGATTTTAGGCCAACCCCCGGAGGCAGAGAGGAGCCATCTCTTTTTTTTTTCTTTTTTCTTTTTTAAATAAATCGGTATTGTTCCGATTATTACAGTAGTTCCTCTTTTTCCTCCCATAGCTCCCCTCCACCCGGTTCCCACTCCACCCCCTACCCTTACC